GCACTTCCCCAGGTCAAGTGGCAGTTCATGCTACATATTTGATTTAATGCCTGCAGACTCCTGGTTTACTGCTGCCAGAGTTTAGCCTACAGTTAATTACCTTTAGGAAGGGCAGTGCAGGTTACTGGGGTATGACTCAAACCTTGAAGCTGCTACTCTTTTTTTTTTTTTTTCTCTTAAAGTTACAGAGCATGGATAAGGTGGTGGGCCACAGAGACAGGTCTCAGGAAACTATATCACAGCCAAAAAGCTTCCAGACACAGTGCAGTCAAATTTACTTCACTTTTATTGAGAACAAACACAATCCTGGATCATTACAACTAGCTTCAGTGTTGATATTAATGAAATTATTCCAGAATTATTCTTAGGTTACAAATGACTACTATTTCACATAAAAAAGAAAAAGTCCCATCCAAGAAATGAAAAGTGTACATTTTCATAGTAATGACTATTTTGTTCATTTGGTTACCTACCATTGATTAAATGTATTCATTTAGTCTCAGGAGAACAATGTAAACCAATGATGCCATCTCAAACATACAGACATACCAAGTTCATGGTGTCACTGCTATTGTACAAATACACAGGATATGAAAATTTCTCTGCTGAGGATCCCAGAATGTTTTATATATATTTATATATAAATTAGTCACACCTCAAAATTACCCTTTGAAATGGATCTGTAAATTACCCCATTTTAATCGAAGGAAAACTGAGGCACATTATACTTAGGTAACTTGCTCAAGCTCACGTAGGAAGTCAGTGGTACAGTAGTAATGGGAGGACCTGGCTGTCACCATCAACAAAACACAAAAACCTTGCTTTCTTGACATTTCACACTGACCTATTTGAGCTACAATGACAAGAGCACAATCAGAATTCAAGCAAAATAAGGAGGAAAACTTGCATTGAAAATGATAGAACTTTCTTTTAATATCAAATACATTCCTATTCTCCATCAAATGTGGGCATTTAATCAATTTCCAAAATGAAACCTGGGAGGGAATCCTGCAAATCACTGTGCTTTTAATTCTCAGGCCAAGCTCTTGTTTAAACCTGCCACACCTGCAGGCTCTCAGGTGTGAGGTACTCCACAGAGAGAGTGAGGGCAGACTCACACACAACACTGAGGACAAAAGAAGTAAGTCACTCAAATAAGTTGTCAGCACATCCACAATGCAAGGATTGTTAGAAATTCACTCAATCAAATCTGATTAATTAACGTATCATTTGAAATGAGCCATGAGTAATGAGAGAGAAGCTCTATGGGTCAGCAATAGTTCTGGAGGAGTATGAAAATATTGCTCCTTACTAAGCCGACATAGTCCTCTGTACATAGATGTATACATGCTGTCGTCCTCAACCTGAATTCTCTATCCAGCCTTAAGTATTGACATGGCATGGCCAGATCCATGGAACAGAATTAGAAAAGGAAGAAGAGAAAGTTGGTTTTATTGTCCACGTATTATAAAGCAGGAATCTGATATAAACTACAGAATGAAAACCACCCAACAGACATGTTCATGGGGTGGGCACATAGGCCGGCAGATCTAATTTACAATGACCTCCATGACCTTTTTTTAATGTTATTTTAACGAACATCTGAAAGACAAGGCTGCTTTAGTATAGGCTGCTCCTTATAGACTCTATTCAATTAGCACAGGAAGAAAGGCCTTGCTTCCTCCTTCATTTCAGACCCAAGAGCTGACAGAACATTTGGTATTGTACATGGCCAATACTAATAGAGCAGAGCTAGGCTTCTGCATTGATGACTGAAACACAGGGACAGGAGAGGTCCGTGGTCTTCAAAAACACTGACAATCAGTGTTTTTCCAGACTACTCTCCTATTGTCTGCTCTAGTCTGTGTGGCAGTTCATTTGCTGCAATGAAACTCTTTCATCTAAGTTCATGGCATGTCAGATCCATGTCTCAGGCAAAGCTTTGCAGCAGGCCCTGGCTCCAGGGATCGGGATGTCCTTTCAATATGAGGCACTTGGGAACTTGGCCTTGCTCTGTGTGCTTCCCAGAGGACTAGGTTTCCTTCTTCTCCTAAAAACTCTTGCACTGTCAGCTGCAGCAACCTGTCTGAACACCTGGAGCACTCAGCATGCTCTCTGTTCTGACCCACACAGAGGAGACTAACAACAGACTCATTTGCTCTGTGGCCAGCTCAGTGGCACAACACCAGCATTTGCATTGGCCATGAGTTATGAGAGAGAAGCTCTATGGGCCAGCAACATTTCTAAGAGTTTGACAGTATTTGTTGAGGTCATCAGTGTGGCAGAGGCCCAAGGGGTAGAGGTGGAGAGGACCTGGAGGTCACAGGTCACTCTTGCTAAAGAGTCTCAGTGGTTCAGTCAGTGCCCGTGAGCAATGCGTCTGCAGGAGAGGAGTTGGAGGGACAGCAGGTCATCACTGCCCTGAATACACATGGCAGGAGGTCTGTCCAGGAAGAACAGAAAAGTCAGGAATAGAAAGAACAGGTAGGAGAAGAGAGACCGATGGGGGAGAGCCAGGAATCCAGAAGCAGTGGGGGTTAAGAGATTCTAACCCCACCCCCTGGCACTCTTACATATAGGGTGTTGGGTCACAGAGGAAGGAGAAAGAGAAGGGGCTACAGCAGCATGGAGAGAAGCCTCGTTTTTACAGAATCCAAGGAGCAGCTGCAACATAATTAAGCAAGTTAGCTTTGTACTTGTTTCTTCAAGACATCTAATAACTTACCTAGCAACTTCTGAACCCCTTGGATATTTTCTAGAGCTCTTGCTTTGGAAAATTATCTCTTTGGAGCTCACTGTAGATGCTGCTGCTCAACCTCTTCAACTCTTGTCCTAAAATGGGAGGCATTGGTAACCCAGCCACTTCCTTCTCTACTTCAAGGTTTTTTAAGAACCCTCTTTCAGAGCTAAGTATACTGAAACATTTCCATGATGCCGGCAGAGTATTTATGACTACATATGTTCTGGTTGACTCAACTGCACCTTCTAAAACCCTTCTTGTTTTGAATGTTTTGAAATGTTACAGCCATCTCATTACTGTGAGACGAGCAACTAGTAACGTGAAGATGGCAGAAGAGAGCAATGAAAGGAGTTGGATGAGCAGCTCATGGACTGCTAAGCATTCTGTGTGTGTCTATACCCACCAGTTCTGGACTCATCTACCTGAAGACTTGTTTTTTGAAATAAGGAATCTCCTTCTTATTCAAAGAAAGTAAAATTCTTGTTGGGAGTGGTAGTACTCCCACTGTAATGCCAGCTACTCAGGGGGTGGAAATCAGGATGATCACAGATTGAGGTTAGCCCAAGCAAAAAAAGAAAATAAGACTCCATCTCTAAAACAAATGGGGCATGGGGGCATGTGCCTTGGTGCCAGCTATACAGGAGGCATCTTAGTCTTGAGGCAGGCCCTGTACAGAAATGCAAGACCCTATCTGAAAAATGACTTTAAAAAAAAGCTGGAAGCATAGTTCAAGTGATAAAGCACCTGCCTAGCAACCTTGATGCTCTGAGTTCAAACCACAGTACTGGCAAAAAAAAAAAAAAAGAAAAATCTTTCCAGGCAGAAACCATTTTTTGTACAAAGTAAATGCTTCTTTTTCCTTACCCTAAAGTATATCTAAACATCAAGACTTGCATTTAGGTTCTAACTTCACATGGCTCCATGGCTATCGCCTGCTCAGTCAAGATAGAAAGGAAGTCTGATGTATGGAGGGGCTTCATGTCTTTGCTAGCTACATAGTTGTGTATGAGTTTCCTTGTGGCTCCTTTCTCCCTCAACACCATCCTTATTTAAAAGTCATACACCGATCCAGGCACCAGTGACTTGCATGTAATCCTAGCTACTTGGGGGGCAGAGATCAGGAGGATCACAGTTTGAGGCCAGTCCTTGCAAATAGTTCATAAGACCCTATCTCAAAAATACCAGATACAGAAAAGGGCTGGTGGAGTGGCTCAAGTGTTAGAATGCCTGCCTAGCAAGCATGAAGCCTTGAGTTCAAATCCCAGTACCACCCAAAAAAAAAAAACCCACCCTAAATAGTGACTTTCTTCACTGATAATTTATCTCTGTACCAAAGAAAGTTAAGTTTTGCTTCCATATATCAAAGTATGAGCTGAAGATAACTAACCAACTTCCTAGAAGATAATGTCACATTTTAAGCTGTAGCCACCTTCCTTGAAGCTCAGGATACCTCTAGGAAAGAGATTTATCTGGGACAAAGACCTTTACTTTAGACTCTAGAAACATTGCTAGGCTTTGGAAGGTAGACAGCAACTAATGGCCGATCAGCTGCTTGCCTGGGAGGCAAGAGAGGGAGGGAAGAGAGAAAGAGAGGTAATAAGGACAACACAGCAAAAAGGCCAATGGAGATAAAAGAGAAAATAAGAATATTGGCTGAGCATCATACAGGAGAGTTGCTGCCTTTCAGTACTTGAGCATTTTATAAGAATATTGTATCAGAATGGATTAAGGTCATCAACATTAACATCCAGGTAGCATTTCTTTTTTTTTTTTTTCATTTTTCTTTTATTATTCATATGTGCATACAAGGCTTGGTTCATTTCTCTCCCCTGCCCCCACCCCCTCCCTTACCACCCACTCCGCCCCCTCCCTCTCCCCCCCCTCAATACCCAGCAGAAACTATTTTGCCCTTATTTCTAATTTTGTTGTAGAGAGAGTATAAGCAATAATAGGAAGGAACAAGGGTTTTTGCTGGTTGAGATAAGGATAGCTATACAGGGCATTGACTCACATTGATTTCCTGTGCGTGGGTGTTACCTTCTAGGTTAATTCTTTTTGATCTAACCTTTTCTCTAGTACCTGTTCCCCTTTTCCTATTGGCCTCAGTTGCTTTAAGGTATCTGCTTTAGTTTCTCTGCGTTAAGGGCAACAAATGCTATCTAGTTTTTTACAGGTAGCATTTCTAAGTAGTAAATCATCAGAACATTAGACCTCTGCTAGGCTGGGTTTTGGACACCCTAGGAACCCAGACAACCCAAACTCAGCCACTCTTGTAGCTTCCACCTCCAGCTTTTTTAATCCTGGCCAACACGGCGGCCTTGGACACTTTCTTCCGGTCATAAGCCAGACCAATGGCAGCCATGCAGTCGATGAAGAATGTGGTGACGTTGAGGCTCCAGCGGTACTCACTGGCAGAGTAGTCATAGGGGAAGGAGTGGTGGTAGTTGTGGAATCCCTCGCCTGGAACAACAGCAAGGAGAGCAGTTAGGGAGCTGGATGGATTGCTGCTTCATCTGTGCACACCTCTTACCTGGTAGGTTCCTCAAGCCACAGAGAAACCTGTTGCTATTGAATGAATGGATGAACCCAGTGTCTTCTACTCTGAAGCAAAGAGAAGCCCTCAGAAGCATCTTAAGCAATGTATTGAGAGATCCTGCTCTGGGATCCTATCTAAGAATGTTTTAGGGAGAAAATGTCTCTCAAAGGATAACAGGTCAAGAAAGAAACTGGTTCTTCTGAGAAAATACTTTACATTGGAAAATGCCAGGATTTCAGTAAATACCGGCCTAAGATCCCACAGGCTGTGTGCTTACATGCATGTGTTTCGATGAAGAAAAGAAGGCCTTAGAAGAACCGTGGCTATGCTTCTTATACAGGTGAGTAAGCAGCACACCTTCCTCCATAGCACTGGTGCTCCCTGTAAGACTGGGAGGTTCCAACAAAACAGGCAGCAGCAGCCAAAAGTCAGAGCAAAAGAGGCCCAAGCCAGGGGCGGGAGTTCCCCCAGCAACTGCTGGTTCCCAGTGGGCTGCTCTGGGTTCTAATTCTCTGAGCTTTGACCATGAAGTAGGGAGAGGTGCTGATTAAACAAAACACCTGAAAAGGCTTAGGGATTCCCTCTAACCTCTGAAAGTATGAGAACTCAGTATGAGCATTTCACCTTGAGAGCAAAATAAACATATTATGGATTCAGAATACTATAATAGGTAAATGTTTGGAAACCCCACAGTTTGCCAACTCTTGGCAGGAATCATCTTTCTGAGTTGCTTCCAACTGTAACAAAACTGACTCTTATGTACGTGCTAGAGCATGACTATATCCCAGGATTGGAGAGGCTGGGACAGGAGAATCCTAAGTTCTTGGCCATCCTGGGTTACATAGCAAGACACTGTCTTAAAATATAAATATAAATAAATAAATAAATAACCACAAAATTAAAAAAAAAAACCATATCAAGTGGGAATGACATATGATGTAATGAGCAAATGAAGGAAGTCCTGCTAAGTAAATCTGTCCAATTAGGGCTGTGAAGTTTTGTAATTACTCTGTGCCCTAGGTGGTCCATAATGTGAACTGAGAAGTGGGTTGGGAGTTGGGATAATGCCAAAGCTAAGGGTGCTGACAGAGGATTGCTAAGTTCCACACAGGCTTTCACATCCAAGCTTTGAGTGAGCACTCACCAAGCCTATATACAGGTGTCAGATTTGAAATGAAGAGAGAATCATACATGGCAATCTGGACAGCAAAAGACAGCCCAAGAAGGCTTAGGGGAAAGTTAGCTTGGTCAGAGGGAAGAAGAGCATGTGACTGTGGGGACAGGTAATTCAAGAAGCAAAAATATTAGAATGTCAGAAAACAGAGCTGGAGCAGAGAAGGAGGAAAGAGCAGGTATGGAGAAGAAAATGACAATGGAGATAAAGTAAGAGGTTGACAGCCGTTTTGAACTGGCAGTCATGGGAAGACAGGAATTAGGAGAGCCAATTATAATTCTATTTGCAATTCAGGGCCCATTTCAGTCCAGATTATTCTGTTTCTATGAAGATCTTACACTTGTGGACATAGATGATTGATATCAAACATGAATCAGAGTACGAACACACACAATGTTGAAAGGGTCTACGAGGAGGAGGGGGCGGGGAATTCATGGAACCACAACAAGGAGATAAAAAAATAATTTCACAGGGGCATCCTTGAAGTTTATGGAACTAAGTCATAATTATTTTTCAACACTTTATACAGCTTCATTAAATATAAAACAGTAGGCTTACTGGCTTCTCCATTGACCCTACTGTTCTATTTATGCACCTTTTGCCCCAAGCAAGACAGCAGCCTAGCCCAGAGGTGACTGGAGAAAGAATTTAGAAGGCCTCAATATGCATGAAATTTGGAGATGGTTTTGGAAATTGCAAGCAAGTTAACATTATTTTTCACCCTTTCCTTTTTACATAAAACTTGTTGCATGACTCTAAAGTTTTTCCCAATATAGTAAACCCCTAGTTTTACAGTGGAAGATCTGAGATGTAAAGTGGTCTTAAAAACAGATTTCGCTGGTATTTCTGGCTCCCAACTAAGTACCCTAGTCAGCAGACCACTAGATGTGGTCATGCTGTGCACTGCTGGCTTACCCAAAGATACTATTGAAACCATGATATTCTCACGGGGGCTGATATTCTTGTCATACGGGCGATATCCATAGAGGTGGGCGGCACTGTTCACCAGCCAGGTGACATTGAGCATCACAGTGTATCTCAGGAAAGTGGCAACATACAAGCTGTGTAGAAAAGTTTCACCCCAACAATACCAGGGCACCAGCGTGGGCAAGATGAAGCACATAAGCAGGACAGCAGGCTTGTAGTACCTACACGAGAGACCACACACTGAGTCTGCAGAGAGAGGGCTCAATTCACTGTGCAACCTCACTTGTTTGGGCTCTTTCTTCCCCCTTACACTGTCAATAGAAGGGGCAGGAAGCAGCAGGACCAAACTGGGTGCAAAATCTTTTGGAAGATAATGTTATTCTTTCTCTTTTTAAATGAGGCAGTATGGATGTGTTAAATGAATTTTCTAGGATCAACCCACTAGAAAGAAGGGAAACAAGAGTCAGAACACTAACTCTTGATTCTAAATGCATTGCTTTTTCACAAGAGCATGAGGTCATATTGGTCCAACAGGTCAGGGTCAACTCACAGTCTCATCAGCTGAGTTCTGCTGCCTGAGCTATTGTCCACTTGCTTTTGGACTCCTTTCTCTTGCAGTTGGTGTCTGATTCAGAGTGTGGGAAGTGCCCTGCATCCATTTCCTGCTCCAGCCCCTAGTCCCTTGTTCTGCTCTTCCTTCAGGAGGTAACTCTGTATCCTTGACCACCCACAGGTCTCTGCCTCTAGAGGCCCTGTCTACCTCTTCATTTCCATGTAGACCAGGCCATTGAAATTACAAAGGAATGATTGCATACATCCATCAGCAGTCACATCTTCAGCTTTTGTGACACTGACATCACTTGCATCCAACTCCTGGTTCTTGCTATTGCTTCTCTGGACTGAGTCCTCCCTATCCTCTGACTTGTGTCCCTGCCTCTCACTTTTCTGACTCAATGACACCTTCATTTATCCTGAAAGTGACCTCTCTAAAGCACACCTTTGACTGAGTCACAGGTGCTGGTTCCTTGTTACCCACTGAATTAATCCTATGTGTGTGTCTAGAACTCCACAGAAGCCACATAAGTCTCTCTTCAGTCCATTTTCCTGTCATCTGTTATACTTCAAGCAGAATGGCTATGTTTTCATACTTGCTTGATGCTTTACTTCACTCTGTTCTTCCTGTTTGTACTTTCCCTGCTCCCCCATTCTTGTAACGGGCTCTATACGTGGGTAGACTCAGTGATACTTTGTTCATAAACCCTGTACTTGTGTTCTTTCTTTACCATCCTGCCTCCCTTTCTACCTCTCATGATGTAGACAATATTCTGTCTTGTGTAATTTTTCAGGCACTTGCCTTTTCCTTCTATCCCAAACAGGCTAAAAACTCCTCAAAGAGAACTCAGCCACATTTGTTTTCATCTCCATGGCAAGGTGAGTTCAGGTACCATTTGTTGCATATGATTGCTTTCATTAAAATAGCTCAGACAGAAAGAAACAGAACAAGAAACTAACCTGTCAACCTCCAAGCCATTTAAAAATGGGGTTTGAAATTATGATTTCCAATATGGAAATCCAATACCTTCCTCAGCTATTACTTTCTAAGTTCTGAGAGAAAAAGTGGGCTCCTAAAGATCCACATTCCTACAGGCCACATCCCAGCTCTTTTCACCCTTCACTCACCTCCTCTGGAACATCACCAGTTTCTCAGCTTTGAGGTCAGACATGTCCAGCAAACAGCCCTTCTCTTTGACAGCTGGGTGTTTGCGCACCAGCAGCCAACCCATGTGAGAAAAGAAAAAGCCACGACGGGAATTGTGAGGATCAGCGTGTGTTTCTGAGAACTTGTGGTGGGCATGGTGGTCTCTGGCCCACTCATACACATCGTTCTGGAGGGAAAGAGAAGAGGAACTCAGGCCGGAGGAGAGATGCCTTCCAGGGAGGATTCCAATGCCTGGACGTCTGCAGTGGTCAGAGATCTCAGCCCAACCTCACAGCTCCCAGGACTCTGGCTCCAAAGGAGGCAGGGATACCTGTCCTCTTCTGAGCACTTGCCCTGGAGCTTATCTGGAAAAGCAACTTCCAGTCCCAGAGCACGGGACTAGCACTGCTGCTTTCTGAAGGTTGTGTGGTGGGGAGAAGGGAGTAAAGCACAGCGCTCATAGTTTCATTAGCAAAGAACATGGTGGTTCCTCATCAAGGAAGGTGGGACAGTGTCCTCATAGGGTGCCTACTCCCTGAGCACAGAGACTACAGGGCAGGTGGCCATGGTTCTTAGGGTGCTGGTCTATGGATAAAGGTATGAGCACCTCCATCCTGATGCCTTTGCAAGCTACTGGTACCCAACACTGTAACAAGGCTGGCCTGTAACTCATGACCATGAGCCCATTTCCAAAGGACCACTGGGCCTATCTGGACTCTCTCCATCCCTTCAAAAATATACCAATATGTCTCTCCCTTCCCTTTGCTCCACAGGGTCCTGAGCAGCCTCAAAGAACAAGTTGCCAGGGCAGAGATATCCGTGCGGGATGCATCTTAGATCTTGCCAAATTAGGAGACTAATTTGGTTTCCTGTTTTCCTTTTCTCCAAGTTAAGCCCCACACTACAATTGTAGCCTAATAGTTAGGAAAGTTCCCCTTCCTAATTGCCTTCACTCTCTCTGTTATAAACTTGTCTGAACCAATCTCAAAACTTGACTTAGCCAGTATGGCCTCCCCACATGGCACTAAGATTGGTCTATCCAACCTCTCAGTGACTCAGTTTCCTTATCTGTAAAATGGGTATAACAATATAACTGTCTCCTGAGATCTCTGCGAGGAGTTAATGAGTTAATCTATATGAACTGCTTATCACAGTGACTGGTCCCATAGTCACTGCCACAGAAATGTTTGCTATTGATATCTCCAACAAAGGACTTCCTGAGTCTGTGCCACATCACTCCATCTCATTATGGTGTAGTCCTCAGACAGTCACCTTATAGTGTGAGTTTATTGACTACTCACAGTCCAGGAAATCCGTGTCAGTGCCTGGACTCTTGCACCATTGCCCTTTATGTTGAATGACCACAACAGTTAACACTGTATGATACCATTGGACCTTGGGATGAACAATGGCTTCGTAACTAGACAGCCTTTCCTATTTACCCCGTTTCACTTCCTAGTGACTGTGAAGCACCTCATGCTGTATGGACTTCAGCACTGAGCCTGCACTTGAGGTGACCACAGGGACTGGAAATGGCCAGGGCTATTCTGCAAGGACTCCTTTCCAGGCATTGAGCCTTTCCATTCCACCCCTGATCATTCAATAGGTGGAGACACAAGGGCTGCACAGTGCCAGCTTCTTACCTGGAATGCCATGGTGTCGGCAATGATGAGGAAGACCCGCAGGGGCAGCCGCGCTTTGTAAGTCCGGTGGCTCCACAGGCGATGAGCCCCTGCTGTGATGCCCTCAATACTGATCACATAGTAGGAAAGCACTGCCAGAAAGAACAGTGGGGGACTCATCAACTGATTAGGGTCCAACCAGGGGAATTGTGCCAGGACATTGTTCTGATCCATGAGTCTCATTCTTGTTTAGATTTTGGGGGAGGACCTGCTTTTCCCTGAATCTTAGGGATGCTTTGCTCCCTAGTCTAGACAGCTTTTACCATTTGAAAAAATGTGGTCATCACCCACTCTCTCCACCTCGGAACAGAGATAAGGTAAGGAATCCCAAGAACTAAGAAGGCAGAAAAGCAGGACAGGAAGCGGGGCTCTCACCACATGCCACTTGTCACTGTCCGGTTGCAGGAGCATTATCCCAGATCCCCTCCTTTGATCTTCAGTTAATGTTCTCTAAGATACTCAGGGCTGCATACTACTCCCCAAGAGCTTAGGACCCCTAGTCAGCGGTATTCTGAAAAGAGCAGCCAGAACAATCTAGACACTGCTCAAGCAGAGGAGCCCCAATTGAAGGGGTCACTCAGGACCCAGAGCTGTGGCTATTTACAACAGATACAATAACATTTTGATATTGTAGCAGTCGGTGTAGACATATGAGGGACCATGAGACCTGTGCACAGTTATCTTTGTACAATGGCTCAAGTTCACCAAGCATGCTAATTTTCTCCTGTCTACTATAAATCTTGAACAGGGCAGTGCTATTAATATTGCATGTCACAGGTGAGAACTTAGATGAAGTGAGAGGCTGTGTTTATCCAGGAGCACAGGACTAGTAAAGGTTTGAAGTTAGGTTATCTGACAAGAATCTGGGTTCCCTCTCCACCACCCACTTTCTGGCAACAGAGAACCTCAACATTGTTCTGCTTCATTGTCCTGGAGACTCTCAGGCTCAAGAGGTACCACACAGGATCTTTAATGGCAGAGGGGATGTTGGGTGTACCTATCTTTTCTTCAGTTTAGCAGCACTAAGAGGGACTGTTTGAGGCACTGGTAGAAACTTTAGCAATGTGTCCTCAGTGATTACAGAACTAGTTGCAGGGAGAGACACCACGCAATGTATAAATTGTTCTGCAGCCCGAAATGACAGATTCCTAGACAACCTCCTCCTCTTCCCTCCCCTACCTCCTTCATCTTATCCTATTCCTTCTACAGGCTCTCCAGGAGAGCCATAGAGCAGCATCTGTCCTAGGAAAGTTCTGGCCACATTTCCTCAGAGCCAAGATTGAGGCTTAGGTGAGTTTTGGCCTGTGTCCCCATGGTGACTGAGGTGTGTAGTACAGACAGTACTACACATGTGCCTAGAAAAAGCACAGTGGAGCCAGAGCCCTGCAGTCATCAGGAAGGCACTGGATTTAGGCAAAGTAGAGGCCCTCAGCTGAGACCAAAGAAGCATCCATACTTATTTCATGTGTAGACGGCCCAGTCTTGTTGGCTCTGAAAGAGCATGTGATGCCATATTAACAGGGGAGCTGGGGCCAAAAGTCAGGCACTAGGTGCCTATTCTACCCACATGTCTCTGTCAGTCATGTACACAGCTCAGGTCATTTGTCCCCCAGGGAAGGACGGTTAGTGCCCACACTGGTAAAGCAGCATCTCATAGATTTGCCCTGAGAAGCAGACTGCAGGGGTTTTGCCTGCTGACCCTCAATGTTGCTAGAGATATATCTTCAGAGCAGTTCCAAAAGTTAAAAGACAAAACCTGCTCAAAATCTGGACTCAAAACCAATTTCTAATTTTGCATTTTCCTTTGAGATAAAGCAAGAAATATTCTTAAAGTTTATAGGTAGAAAAAGAAGATGTCCAAGCTAAGACCTCCACCCTTCTTACCAAGGAAGAAATTTAAAATCCATATTTCATAGTGGATGAAATTCTGTCAGCCCAGCCACTCACAAATGGCCCTCAGGCATTTGTACCAATTTCTGTCTAAAGTCACAGCATACCATTAAGGTCAGAACACCGAAAAAGGTAGCCAAGCCTTGGCTTTGGAAGTAGCATTCTGTTCTCTGCATTAGCAGATTGAGGCCAAGCACAATCAATCTGGTCAACCTCAGGATAAGTGAGAACTGTGGTGAGTGCCCAGGCTGGAAGGGATTTGCTAGTGATGACACTACTTGTGAAGGCTCCCCTCATGGGAAGAAAGGGTGGAGAGGCAAGTCCACAGTCTCTTGGAGATTCCTATTTTTGCTCTGGGTTCATTACCCTACAGCTTAAGTTCTTTGAATTCACCAGTTGAAAGATCAAATGTGCCCCTTCAGCACCCCCCACCCCCCAAACAGAACAGCCTTTCCTAGTCTGTAGATGAATAGATACCACTTTTGCCTCTGTGGCAGTGATGAAACCAAGTAACCTAAGATGTACAGCCCTCCTAGTCCTAAAAGTGGGTTGATGCCTTCATTGGTACCTGGCAAAACTGTGTGTCTGACAGTGGGGATCAGCTCAGCTCAGTTGCGTTTCCCTGGGACTTCAGAAGGATTTTCCAAACAACCAGCCAGGGGTCAAATCTCACCACCTATAAGACCTAAGAGACTGAGGAAGGATGGCAACTAACACCTGGGTGACCAGCCCAATATATCACCATCCTCCCAGAGAGCTGACAGAAAGTACCAACATCTGAGACAGCCCTGGAAAACCTCCTGCTTTCTTCTGGATTGGGATCTGGGCTCACCACCTCTCAGAGAGCAGCAAGTGGGCCCTGGGGTCAGTAGATCTCCTTGCCTCCCCCTCCCGATTCAGCTTCAGGGAATGGAGGTGAAGCTGCCTACAAAGCACATGCGTGGACACAACACACACCCATGGATCCCTGAGATTCTGAGCTAGGACAGGGCGGGGTCAAAGTGGCAACCGTCTCCATCATTACAACAACATGAAGGCTGGGGCTGCTCAAGGCTCTCTATTCTCTGGCCTGGCTGGCCCTGCCAAATAGCTTTGGGTAGGACCAGGGAGGACTGGCATTAGAAGATGCTGGGTCCTTGGTACATCAGAAGAGAGGTGCAGGAGCAGGCATGGAGAATGAAACACAAAACATTTCTGCAACCTTATTTCATTCTAAGAATATTTTTGTTGACTGTGCTAAACTATGAAGACCGAACTGGGGTAGCAGAGCTACACGCCTGTGCATTTGCCTGTACCAAAGCCTTGTTCTTCACCTTACTCCACAGCAAACAAGCCTGATCTGGTAAGGGGTCATGTCCAAATAGTTTTGTGGATAACCCCCTACTGTTCCTCCCCTGAAATGATCTCTCCTCCTGAGCAAGGGGAATTTGCTCTGTCCCTGACTGCACTCAACATGTAGCCCATGAAGGCCCTGGCCTGACACCAGATTCCCATGGCTCCCAGGCAGCCCTTGATTCTCTTGTGGCTGGCAAGGCTGGGACAGGTAACTATGGGAAGTACTCAGAGAAGCTTTGCCAAGGACAGCTGCCTGTCTGCCGCAGGTCAACCCTTCACTGTCTCCCGCACATGGTCCCAGTGGTCTCTGCTCAACACCCATGTTAAGGGCCCTCGTAGCTGGCATGCCTGCACCCCAGTCCCAGTAGGCTCTATTCCCAGCCCTGTCAGCCTCCCAGGAACCAAACAGAAATGCTTGGGAAACTTGGATGGAGAGGGATGTCCTGTGTGAGACCCCACCTCAATAAAGAGCAGGGAGAAACCTGGGTACTTGCTCAGGACAAGGGAAGCTGCTTACCCCAGAGCCAGGTGTAGAACTTGCAGGTGGGAACCAGTGTGAGCCCATACAGGGCTCCCACGTGCAGCAGACCCATAAGGATGATGTTTCTCCAGACATACTCAAGCTTGGGCGGGGGGCCCTCCTCATCCTGGTAGCTGGGGTCATGGATGTCATCTTTCATTTCAGGGCGGATGTCTTCTCCAAAGGAGAGGGGCACCTTCTCCAACTTTTCTCCCCCATTCTGCAGACCCCAGGGGGAGGCGCTGTGATGGCAGCAGTGGTGGTGGTGGTGGTGGTGGTGGTGGTGTAGGAGCCAGAGATCTGCAAGGAGAGAGCAGATGTCTGGTGGGTAGTAGGGAACACTCCCTCCATATTATAACTGGGAGAAGGGTGCAGCAGAGGCACAGACCCTGCCCCAGTGTCCTGGGTAACAGATTAGGCAGAAGGGGATGTCTCTAGAAACAGTGCAGTTAGATTCTGGTAAGACATCAAAGTGAAGGGGTAGAAGAAGAGAAGGGTGAACACGAGTACCACTAGCAAGGTACTAGCATACCCTGCATATGTACAGAAAGGTACTAATGTAATGGGATTTTTCTTTACTTTAAATCTTGTGAAACAAAAGTTGGGGAAATCAAGTGCCAAAACTGCAATTTACATCCTCACCAAATGATGGCAGTACAACTCAGAAAAGATGACCAAGTTCTCTGGGGCTCTCAATTGTCTCCCTCACTCACAAGTCACTTAGAAACCCATAGGACACCAGCAAACTCAGGATTTGGGAGCCCTTGCTAAAAAAAAACTACGAGACCATAATTAAATGGATTAAATTTCTGCACTACACCAGAGCAGACCAGACCAACCCAAAAAGCAGTCACTTATTCTAAATGCCACATAATCAAACTGCAGCTTTAAGGAAGCAGCTAAATCCCTAAAGACAAGTGTTTCCCAGAAAGAGGGGATTCCAATGCATCCTAGTGAACATAACAAGGAAGTTCTCTGGCTTTTAAGCATTACAAAAACGCATCCTAAAGCAACCTATGTGGGCCAAACTTTTTAGGTTTTTTTTCTTTGTTTCCGCCTTACCCAACCACTGCCTGGCCAGTTCTCCAGTTGAGATGTTCTGTATACTTTGTGCAATGGATGCTGCCTTGATTAATGAGCCCCAAATAACAGGCAGATCTCTAAGCAAATCTGTGCTAATTTTGCCTTTGTCCATTCTGGCAATTGGCCAAGAGACTTGATGGATATTGCTGAAGAATGCAGGAGAGAGTGCTGGTCCCTTTGAGGTTCCCTGTCTTCCTTTGGGAGCCTCAAAGGACTGTAATTTCCTCTCTGTTGAACTCTGTACATTTTTTAATTACCAAAGTTCTTGCCTTGGCATACTTATTTAAACAGTAAATCTGTCAAGTTTCTAACAGAAACAAAGCCAATTACACTTGCACTACAAAAAATCCACAATTATTAACAGGAACAGGAAATAAGTATCTAGGTTACACTGATAATCTAAAGGCATACTCCATTATATTCTCAACATATTAAATTAGTGTTAAAAAGGAAGGAAAAAATGTTTTATTTTAATAAAGGGTAATAAAAGCCAAATTACAGCCATTTGTTAAAGCACAAGTGTGCAGTTCTCTCTCTCTCTTTAATTCTAAGGCCTTTTGTCTGAACAAATAATCCTGCAATCTTTCCTACAACATGTTCTCTTAAGCAATATTATAAGTCTAATCAGTCACATACAATACTGAATGGTGGGTGGTAGACTTTCATATTTGTTGTTTATAACTCCTAAGTGGTCAACATGTAGCATTTTCACTTTTGGATAAGAGAAAAAGCATTTTGGTCCATTGATTCACCTACTCACTCCTGGAGGACATCAACCAACTTGGCTATTACAAAGGCATGTGTGTCATCAATGTTTTGAATGATGAACCTCTTCTGTAGGACATTGGCCTCATCCAAGTACAAGAGAAATTGCTTCATGGCAGGATCGCATTTTATAAACACTCCTTTCAAGGCCTTGACCATCTTTTCCCAGTCAGAGGGTGCAGATGACCTCAAGAATGTTCTACGAGCTGACCCAGCTGTGACTCCAGCTCTGTTCTGTTTTCATTTGTCCCATGATCTTAATGTCTTTGCAGGGTTAGTGCTGTGAAAGTGTGTATGACAGAGCTCAGCAGTAAAGCACTTGTCTGGCAGACATGTGGCCCTGGGTTCAATCTCCAGCACTGCACATATACACACACAAAGGCTATGACTTCGGGGCTGCACATTAAGGGTTAATTTGTGCTATGTAACCATTTGGATTTGCAGTGATGACTAATTGTTGAAATAATGATGGAGATAGGGCTGGGTACTGTAGAAAGATCTTAGGTATCTGACTAGGATGGACAGAAACTGACATTAATGACAATTTCAGTAGTCCACCCCTTTTTCCCTTATAAATGCCTAAAGCTGCAGATCATATGAATCCTATATGTGAGCACTTTGCCACTGCAGCAGTTTAACTGATATCCAAGGTGGCTGTCAAGTCACTGATGGGTGGGTGGCATATATAACTTGAAGGTATTGGACAAAGGGATAATTCTTTTCCTAGGCAGGATGGAGTAGTAAAGTCACTGGCCAACTAACTTCTTTTTGTCCCTAAGTGGCTCTATTTTTCCTTTTAACTTATTTTTTCCCTCTTAATTCAATTTTTTCTGCAGTTACCTTGGAACCAGAAACAATAGAATGACTGATCAACAGCTTCATGACAAGGAACCAAAACTAGCCCCTACATCAGCTAGCCTCACAAGATAGGTCACCCCATGATGAAATCACCCCTGAAATGAGCAAATATCCGTGATGGTATTGGTAAGGCTATTCCCTGGAGCAGGGATAATCATCTCATGGGATCCAGATTGTTCCTTTCAAGTGATAACTTCTCTAGAACCCCTTGCAGAAGTAGAATTGAGATAGCAATCAGACTACTGACCTGACCAAAGTTAATTGCTCTGTCAGCTATCCATACTTTAACCATCTTCTTTGCTTTCCTTTCCTGTAAAATCTCAAAGTTCTTGTCAGCTCCTAAAAACAGACTTGAGTTCACTGAACCCCTTTATCTGTTCTTCCCAGAACAGATAAATTATAGTCATACTGACTTAATTTCCTCTCTCTACCTTCACCATTCTCTGCCTTTCACTACTACTTGTCTCTTTGATTGGTGTATTGGGATGGGTGGCTGGGCCTAGTCCAACAAGACCCTGGAGCCTGGGCTTTTGCCCTAAAATAGTAGTAAGGCAGGAGGGAAAGAGGTAACTGTAGAGTGACAAAAAGCTGATGCAACAGCAGAGCTGCCTTATTGAAGAACATCATATGATGTCATCAGTGAATCTCAGAACTTGCCAAAACTAGCTGGGACCAACATGGCTGACCAAGATGACCACTAACTGGTCTTTGCTTCATTATAACAGCATTTCTATTAGCATTGTGTTTTTATCTGTTCCCATAATCTGTCTGATGTCATGACACATCTGAAAGCACCATATAACAGGTGATAAAAAACACAGCACAGAAAAGAGGAGTACTCTCTTTTAGAAACTCTTCCCCAATTCTGGGAATTTCCTACCTCTCCACACTCTACCTTAACTCATGAATGATCCACTCCTCTATTAAGTTTGACCATAAGATCTGTTGTCAAAAACCTCAAGGGGTGCAACTCACTGTGAGAACACCCATGCTCACCCCTTAAGTGTATACGTTCCCTGAGTAACGAAAGCTCTTTCCTAATTCATTATTTTGTTCTGTCTGAAGTTTGTCTCATAGTGTCAAGACCTAGAGATGCCTGGTTGAGGTCTTAGTCTCTTTATCTGTGCCTCAGACCTCCCCAGCCCCTTATCAATGGTAACATAGGACCGTGGCTACTCAGAATGATATAAACTTACAGGCTGGTTGTGGTAGCACACACACATAATCCTTGTACTTGAAGCTGAGGAAGGAGAATCACAAGACCAAGGCCATCTTGGGCTACATAGGGAACAGTGGAATAGGAAGTTAAAAGGTAGGCCATGTATGTGTAGATATGACTGTGTGAGATATGATATGTGTGTGTGTGTGTATAAAACTCTATATATAGTTTTTTCCTTGGGTAGTATTGCCAAAATTTATGAAGAACTATTTATTTGGATTAAAAATCATTTAATTCAAGTATTCTCTTGGAAAAATATAAAACAAACTCAAATGCCTTTTAGTTTATGAGATCTGAAATAACCTTTGGTAGATAAGTTAGTTTTAAAATTGTTGATAAAATAACAGGAATGTTTTCATTCCAAGTTAACAAGAAGAGCATGATACTGGCATAAAAACAAACATGCAGGCCAATGAAATGGAACAGAGAACCCGGAAATAAATCCACACATCTATAGCCAACTGACCCTTGATGAAGGTGCCAAAACCATGATGGAGAAAAGAAACTTTTTTTAATAAATGTTTCTGGCCAAACTGGATATCCACATGCAGAAGATCAAAACTAGATTCCATCTCATTCAAAATGGATCAAAGGCTTTAAATAAGACCTGAAACTTGTGCTTGCATGTTTACTTAGGGGGAGTGAGCACATGCTTGCATCCTCTTGATGAAGAGAAAATTGCCTTGTCAGGATTTTCTGTTTGTTTTCAGCACCAGAGGGTTATCAACTGCAACAATTTGGGGGCTCTGTCTGGGATTTTACATTCTATCTGGGAAGGGGGTCCCAGTCCTTTCCCCAGGAGATGTGTCCTGCTGCCTGATTGCAGCGGCCCTGAGGTTTGGCCGAGGACAACTTTCTGGATCTGTGAATGAATTCGGACTGCAGAATTTCTTGACAATGTGGTTAAAAGAGCTCTGAAGACAGGAACCACAGCGACCATGAAAAAAGTCTCCTCCACTTGACTTTTCTGTTCACCCGCACCAGCCTGGCGATTATGTGCTAATCAAGATCTGGAAAGAAAATAAGCTTGAGCCAGCTGGAGATGGAAGCTTTCTGGTCCTGCTGACCATGGAGACAGACATCCAGACCTCAGAGAGGGGATGGACTCATCGCACATAGGTAAAGAAGGTGCCCTCACCTGACCAGAGCAACAGTGGGCTGTGCTTTCACATCCAGGCAACACCAAAGTGACTTTAAAAAGACTATAGCTAAAATATTCTTTCCCTTTTGTTTGGGAAATGGTATGCTTATTATTAATGTAACTCAGAGTACTTTTCCTTTAACTGTTGAATTTGATGCATGCCAGATCCTTCCCTGTGGAGGCCTTAGGTCCCAACTCCAGCTCCAAGGATATTCCTTTTATATGTGCCCCATTCCAGAACCCACAGGGAAGCAGGTATCTGTCCAGAGTGGACAGATGTGGGTG